TAGAGTTCTTTGAGTTCTGAATTTAATTATTATAGATTTGAGTAAATATTCGTATCTTCTTGGTATAGAATTACATAACATTTAATTCTTAATAGCATGTACTTGAACATTGTGTTTTCTTTTATTTTTTTAAATTATACTTTATGTTATAGGGTACATGTGTACAACGTGCAGGTTTGTTACATATGCATACATGTGCCATGTTGGTGTGCTGCACCCATTAACTATCCCTCCCCCTCCCCCCACCCCACAACAGGCCCCGGTGTGTGATGTTCCCCTTCCTGTGTCCAAGCGATTTCATTGTTCAATTCCCACCTATGAGTGAGAACATGCAGTGTTTGGTTTTCTGTTCTTGCATTAGTTTGCTGAGAATGATGGTTTTCAGCTGCATCCATGTCCCTACAAAGGACACGAACTCATCCTTTTTTATGGCTGCATAGTATTCCATGATGTATATGTGCCATATTTTCTTAATCCAGTGTGTCATTGATGGACATTTGGGTTGGTTAAAACTCTTTGCTATTGTGAATAGTGCCTCAATAAACATACATGTGCATGTGTCTTTATAGCAGCATGATTTATAATCCTTTGGGTATATACCCAATAATGGGATGGCTGGGTCAAATGGTATTTCTAGTTCTAGATCCTTGAGGAATTGCCATACTGTCTTCCACAATGGTTGAACTAGTTTACAATCCCACCAACAGTGTAAAAGTGTTCCTGTTTCTCCACATCCTCTCCAGCACCTGTTGTTTCCTGACTTTTTAATGGTTACCATTCTAACTGGTGTGAGATGGTATCTCATTGTGGTTTTGATTTGCATTTCTCTGATGGCTAATGATGATGAGCATTTTTTCATGTGTCTGTAGGCTGCATAAATGTCTTCTTTTGAGAAATGTCTGTGCACATACTTTGCCCACTTTTTGATGGGGTTGTTTGTTTTCTTCTTGCAAATTTGTTTGAGTTCTTTGTAGGTTCTGGATATTAGCCCTTTGTCAGATGAGTAGATTGCAAAAATTTTCTTCCATTCTGTAGCTTGCCTGTTCACTCTGATGGTAGTTTCTTTTGCTGTGCAGAAGCTCTTTACTTTAGTTAGATCCCATTTGTCAATTTTGGCTTTTGTTGCCATTGCTTTTGGTATTTTAGACATGAAGTCCTTTCCCATGCCTATGTCCTGAATTGAAGGGGTGGCCTGCATCTCCACACCTGTGGGTGTTTCTCGTTAGGTGGAATGAGAGACTTGAGAAAAGAAATGAGACACAGAGACAAAGTATAGAGAAAGAAAAAGTGGGCCCAGGGGACCGGTGCTCAGCATACAGAGGACCCACCCTGGCACTGGTCTCTGAGTTCCCTCAGTATTTACTGATCATTATCTTTACCATCTTAGAAAAAGGGAAGTGGCAGGATTATAGGATCATTGTAGGGAGAAGGCCAGCAGTAAGACATATGAATAAAGATCTCTGTGACATAAGTTTAAGGAAAAGTCCTGTGCCTTGATATGCATATGTAAACATCTCCATAAACCTTTTTAGTGCATAAAGAGCAACATTGCACTAGCAAGTCCCACCTTTCACCCTATGGCAGTTTTCTCCTTTCTCAGTAAACAGAACATACAATCGGGTTTTACACCGAGATGCTCCATTGCCCAGGGACAGGCAGGAGACAGATGCTTTTCTCTATCGTCACTGCCAAGAGGCCTTCTTTCCTCTTATACTAGTCCTCTTCAGTACAGACCCTTCACGGGTGTCAGGCTGGGGGACAATTAGGTCTTTCCCTTCCCACAAGGCCATATTTCAGACTATCACATGGGGAGAAACCTTGGACAATACCTAGCTTTCCTAGGCAGAGGTCCCTGTGACCTTTGGCAGTGTACTGTCCCTGGGTACTTGAGATTAAGAGAATGGTGATGACTTTTCACAAGCATACTACCTTCAGGCACTTGTTTAACAAAGCACACCCTGCACAGCCCAAAATCCTTTAAACCTGGAATCACCACAGCACATGTCTCTTGCAAAGACAAGGTTGGGGGTAGGGTCACAGATTAACAGCATCTCAAATACAGAACAAAATGGAGTCTCTCATGTCTACTTCTTTCTATATAGATACAGTAACAGTCTGATCTTTCTTTTCCCCACACTGAATGGTATTGCCTAGGTTTTTTTCTAGGGTTTTTATGGTTTTAGGTCTAACATGTAAATCTCTAACCCATCTTGAATTAATTTTTGTATAAGGAGTAAGGAAGGGATCCAGTTTCAGCTTTCTACTTATGGCTAGCCAGTTTTCCCAGCACCATTTATTAAATAGGGAATCCTTTTCCCATTTCTTGTTTTTGTCAGGTTTGTCAAGGATCAGATGGTCGTAGATGTGTGGTATTATTTCTGAGGGCTCTGTTCTGTTCCATTGGTCTATATCTCTGTTTTGGTACCAGTACCATGCTGTTTTGGTTACTGTAGCCTTGTAGTATAGTTTGAAGTCAGGTAGCGTGATGCCTCCACTTTTGTTCTTTTGACTTAGGATTGTCTTGGCAATGCGGGCTCTTTTTTGGTTCCATATGATCTTTAAAGTAGTTTTTTTTTTCCAATTCTGTGAAGAAAGTCATTGGTAGTTTAATGGGGATGGTATTGAATCTATAAATTACTGTGGGCAGTATGACCATTTTCACGATATTGATTCTTCCTATCCATGAGCATGGAATGTTTTTCCATTTGTTTGTGTCCTCTTTTACTTCATTGAGTAGTGGTTTGTAGTTCTCCTTGAAGAGGTCCTTCACATCCCTTGTAAGTTGGATTCCTAGGTATTTTATTCTCTTTGAAGAAATGGTGAATGGGAGTTCATTAATGATTTGGCTCTCTGTTTGTCTGTTATTGGTGTATAAGAATGCTTGTAATTTTGCACATTGATTTTGTATCCTGAGACTTTGCTAAAGTTGCTTATCAGCTTGAGGAGATTTTGGGCTGAGACGATGGAGCTGCTACCATTCCTTCTAAGAATATTTCAATCAATAGAAAAAGAGGGAATCCTCCCTAACTCATTTTATGAGGCTAACATCATCCTGATACCAAAGCCTGGCAGAGACACAATAAAAAAAGATAATTTTAGACCAATATTCCTGATGAACATTGATGTAAAAATCCTCAATAAAATACTGGCAAACCAAATCCAGCAGCTAATCAAAAAGCTTATCCACCATGATCAAGTGGGCGTCATCCCTGGGATGCAAGCCTGGTTCAACATGTGCAAATCAATAAATGTAATCCAGCATATAAACAGAACCAAAGACAAAAGCCATGTGATTATCTCAATAGATGCAGAGAAAGCCTTTGACAAAATTCAACAGCCTTTCATGCTAAAAACTCTCAATAAATTCAGTATTGATGGAATGTATCTCAAAATAATAAGAACTATTTATGAGAAACCCACAGCAAATATCATACTGAATGGGCAAAAACTGGAAGCATTCCCCTTAAAAACTGGCACAAGACAGGGATGCCCTCTCTCACCACTCCTGCTCAACTTAGTGAGTAGGACTTCTGGCTAGGGCAATCAGGCAAGAGAAAGAAATAAAGGTATTCAATTAGGAAAATAAGAAGTCAAATTGTCCCTGTTTGCAGATGACATGATTGTCTAGAGAACATTGTGTTTTCTATTTTACTTTAAAGTAAATCAAATGGATCTGTTTGATGTTTTTTTCAGAATAAGATACTTAAAATCTCTATTATTTACTAATTTATTGTTTCTATTTTGAGTTTCAGTTTTCCATCTGATATTTTGTAGGTTTGTTTCACTGTTTTTTGGTTGTTGGTGCTGTTGATGATCAGCTTTCCTAACTTTTATCTTGCTCTTTCTGTTTATGTGTGTGTGTGTGTGTTTGTAGATAGGTAGATATAGATATAGATATAGTTTAGTTATTAAATCTGATTAGTGTTGACTTTTATAATTTCATACTTGTATATTGTTTTTCTTCATCATATATATATCAATAAAAGCATTCCAACCAAAGATTAATAAATGTTTTGGTAGATTTATTCAAAAGAATTTAAAACTATATTTTCTTTGATAGACTTCTGGTTATTTGCAAATAAATGTTCTCTATAAATGTCTATGTTTCACTTATTCATTAAGCACAAAGTTTGCCAAATGTTTGTATCTATGTTTAAACTAAGCCGAATAAAAATGTGTTTTCTTGGGCATTTACTAGTAGATGGTACAATCTTTATTTGAACAGTATAATTTATACTAGTTTACATTTCATCTGCAACTGTTGAATGTATAGAAATATACTACAGGTGTTATGCATATGCACACATGCATGCACACTTGTACAGTTATATACACCAGCATACTGATGTAGACTAGCAAATTTGCTAATGGTCTGATTGAATAAATAATTGATTGAATAAATTAATAAAGAAAAAATTGAATGAGTAATTAAAATCAACTTATGTATTTTATTTATTGAAATCTGAATTATAGAATGATTTGATCAATAACATTTTGTTTAACATTACACAATTCAAACTCTATCTCTTTCCTAAAAGTAATTAATGTATGGAAATCTCCAAGTGGTGCTTTTCTTATAAACTTTATTATTATTAACCTATTAAATATTTTGCCAAACATTACTTCCATAAATCTATTTGGGAGACCAGGAGCAAAATCCTATTTTTGCCTGACTCAATCATACAGCTGATGTTTAATTAAAAACAAAAAACTGATTATAAGCTAATGATTCAGAACATCCCCCTAGGGGATCAGAGAGGAAAAGCTGACATAATGTGACAGACGCTTTCTTTCAGCTGCTAGTTACAGGAAGCACTTCCAAATGTAAAAAGTCAATTTATTTTCAGAAAACATATTATTGTACATAGTAAAAAGAAAATTAAACAAATAGGCTTTGAAATAAGTAGATATCAGGGTTACAAATAGCAAATCTCCAATATTTGACTTGGAAATAATAAAATAATAATATGTTTCTTCAACTGTACTTTTCTCTATGACAGTGAATTACAACAGGAGAAAAATCAGACATCCATGCCGTGGATGCTAGTGTATTTTTAGAAGCTGAAAGGTAAGTAGCAGCCCCAGCTAGTAGAGCTTTTTACTGATTTCAATCCATGGAATGTACCTTAGTTAAGTATAGATACTTATGACATAGTGATATAATTTAAAAGAAAGAAATGCCATTTATATCTCACAACAAAATTTTTCTATAATATTAGTTACACTGAATTTACATGTAAGCCATAAATGTGAAAGATGAAGAAATCCAAGAAAATAAAGATATATCATCAAATGATTTTGATTTAGGATAAATTGTTTTAATAATAATTATACAGTAAAAATTATATCTTCATAGTAATAAAAGATATTAAAATCTATTCTTCATTTTGACATGCAAAGAAAAATAGGTAATCAAATGAAAAGGGAGCTGATGGAGACCAATGAAAATAAAACAAATTGTATGATACATAGTAATACATTTTGTAAGGTCTATGTTTTTGATTATAAACTAGATACAAATTTACACACCTTGTAGAAATATAGTGTGTCAGACACTGTTAGGCCCTAATCCAATCTATTTTTAAGTTCTTTCTTTTAAGCTTCCAGCAAGAGATGACCAAGTAGCTAGACTCTGGCTGATAGGATTTCTGATACACTCATACTGGGATGTTTTTAAATTTTTCTTATATAGTCAAACACCTTTCTCCTCTTCTTTCTCCATGATGAAATGCAGACATTGCAACAAAGATATAGGTTCTATATTGAGACCATATGATAATAAGACTAAGAAAAGAAAAATACAGTCATGAAAACACAGTTCTGGTAGAGTTGATCTAGTTGCTCCACTGAACTGACAGTCCTAACAATGCTTGTCATCATATTCCAGAGCCTTGGATGTTAGCTGCATTCCAGTATCTTTAGACTAAGCCCTACAAGAAACCAATACAAAGTACATTTCTGCTTGTGCCTCAGTTCCACTAGTTATAAGTAGATAGTACAATTGCAGAATTGTTTATAGGTTAATTGATAGTTTAAGGGCAAATTACAATCTAAGGAGATACTGTAAGAAGATAGTGCAAGGAGATCTTGTTTAATTTATTTTAGGCTGAGAAGATAGAATTAAAAATCTTGCCATACTCTAGTCCTTATATTGACTTCAGCTAATCTGTAATTTATTCAGGCTACCTGAAAATGATTTTATCATGCTTTCCATCTAGTTTAAGGTTCTTGGACCACTGTATCTTCTTTTCATATATCTTTTGTCTGATTTGTGTCATGCATCTTATATTTATATTTTTATAAACACAAAATTGTTTTTTATGATTTTCCATAGACAATTATCTTCTAAAATTAGTAAAAATATAGCTTTAAGAAATAAAAAGAACATATTTTATATTGCCTTTATTTAATTCATTACTAGCATGCTATGTTTCTTTGTGTTGATCCAGGTGTTGTGCCAATGAATGTCTTTATTCATTTTTAAACGTTAAAGTCTATATTTCCTTTTAACATTTGAAGATATTTTAACTGGATATAGAATTCAGGGTTGACAGGTTTTGTTTTGTTTTTCTTTTCAGCACTTTACAGATGTCAATATATTGTCTTCTAGACAACATGATTTCTGACATCTGGGGTCATCCTCACTTTTTAAAAATATATTATCTTATATTCCTCTGGTTACCTTCAAGATTTATATATGTTCTTTGATATTATTTATTTGAAAATGATATTCCTCTATGTTTTATACTCCTTGATGCTCTCTGAAGGTATTGATTCTTCAGTTTGTTGTCTGTCGGTAATTTTGAAAAACATTTTGGTTATTGTTTCTTGAAATATTTCTTCCACCCTATTCTTTTTAACAATCAAATAGGCATCATGTTGCTAGGTCGCAGGAACATAGTCTTTACTAGTGCTTCTGTACCTCCCCTGACATTCTCTCATAGCTCTTGGATGCCCTATTTTGCCCCATATCCCTATTATCTCTGGACCTGTTTCGGTTTGACTAACTTCTGTTAACCTAGAGTCACTTATTCTTTGTTCACATGTGTTGAGTATATTAATGAGCCCTGCATCAGTGAGAGAAATATAATCAGTCGGAGTTAAAGAGGGAAGGGGGGGAGAGTAGAGAATGAGTGGAAGGTTTTACAGCAAAGTCTATCTGTGGGGCAAGCCATTAAACTATATACTATCATGCAGGAGCTGAGGCTACAGTCTTCCACAGTGAAACTTATTTGCTCTCATGGTTTTTAACTGATTAGATGATACCCATCCAAATTATTAGGGATAATTTATTTTACTTAAAGTGGAATGATTGTTGATTGTAACTACATCTATAAAATACTCAAGAACAACACCTAGATTAGTGTTTAATTGAATAACTGGATACTATAGCCTAGCCAATTCAACACATGAAACTATCACAAGCCAGTGCAACACATTTACTGTCTGTGTTGCTGTGTTTTCACTTCTATACTTTTTGTTTAATTATTTGTTATAATTTTCATATCGCTGCTGACATTACCCATATGATCCTGCATGTTCTGTACCTTCCCTGAAACACTTCAACATATTTATCATAGAGAGGGAGATCCTGCATTGGTGTTGTATCTGAATATGACTTTGGATCTTGGATGTGTATTGCTTTCCTTAGACTTACGTATGCCTCATATATTTCTTTTTTATGACATAAGTTGAACTGAACTACAGTAAATAAAATAACAGCTTTTATGCCTACAAATGACTACACCTTCTCTTTTTCAATTGCTACTTAATGTAAGAATTTGAGCTATTATGATTAGGAAATGGACCAGTTCTCAAGTCTTGCCTTTTTTACATTTGTTCTTAGCACTTCCGGATGTCAAATTCTTATAGAAATAATTTGTGTTTGAAATGGGAGGAGCTACTCTGATGAAATATTTATTTTTACTCAATGTCTGCTCTACCCTTAGCTTTAGGTCTTACCTATGTTTAGCGTCTCAGAGATGGCCGTCTTACAAGATCTTTCCTTCTCTACCTCTCAACAGTGTTTTACTATCATTGTTACTGGATTTTTGTTAGCCTAGTGGGAATGGGAGTGGGTGGGGACAGGCAGACATTCTTTGTTGTTTAAATGTAGCCTCAGTGGATCTCACCAATGTGGTCTTTTCTAATGCTTCTGAGCTTCCACTGGCTTTAGTGCGTAGCCCAGCATGTGTACCTGCTCCTTAATAAGGTATAGGTTTATTTAGATTTTGGTCCTTTTCTCAAGATGAAAAGGGCTTTCCCTAGTTCCCTGACAGTGCTTGTGCCCTTACCTCAATAAACTGAACATTTTTTTATTAGGAAGTAAAGGAATAAAATTCTGGGTAGAACTTCTTGTCTCTCATGCAGCAACTTCCCTTCTCCCAAGTCTGCATCACAAGGGACACATCCTTAAAATTTTTCCAGTCTATTCTGTGAGTGCTCAGTAGGGTTCATAAAGAAAAAATCTATAGAGGATACACATGTCCCCATTTGTTAAAATCCCTAGGGGATTCACACTCCTCAGTCCACACTTGGCCTCCTCCAATTAGGGAACAATCCTGGCTACACTCTTCTTTCCTGTGTCCTGTTGCCTCTAGCCTAGCTAAAGCTGTCCCACGTTCATGCCTCCTTACAGGCATTCACCCCTCCTTAAATAGAGCTCTCTGATGCATTCAAAATAAGTCATAAACTTGAAGCCTACCTTGAACTTTTCGTTGTAAGAGTGGGTGTGATGTCCTTTCTAGCTCTCTATATCCTCTACTGAAATCACAAGTCCCTCCCTCCCTTCTGTCTCCAAACCCCATCAGTCTGTGTTTGGTCCCTGCATTAATTATTTGTCACTGCATAACAAATTACCACAAACTGGGTGGCAAAGGAACCCATGTTTATCATCACATAGTTTTTGAGGGTCATACATCAGGATATGTCATGGATGGATCTTCTGCTTCAGGTTCCTTCACAAGATTGTGATCAATGTGTCAGCCAGGCCTGTGTTTCATCTGAAGGCTCAACTAAGGAGAGATTGACTTCCATGGAAAAGTATTCACAGGAGGTTTGACTGAGGACCTCTTTTTCTTGCTTTGATTGTAATTACCTATAGTTTCTTGCCATTTGGGCCTCTCTAACATACAGTTTGTTTTACTGAACCCAGCAAAGGGAATAGTCAGAACAGAAGTTACACGTTTATGCAGCCTAATCATGAGAATAGCCTTTCCATCCATCCATCCACTTTGCTTTATTCTATTGGTTAGAAGTAACATACTAGGCTAACTTATACTCAAGGGGAGACACTATTATACAAGGGCGTAAATAAGAGGCAGTGGATATTATTGAGGACCTTTGTAGTACATGCCTGCTGCAATACTCAAAGTACATAGTTACTGAACTTTGCTGATCCTTCCATATCTCCAGGATCCATGACTATAACTGCTACCAACCTCTGGGCTGCAGCAGTGTATTGTCCATAACCCAAATAAGGTAATGTAGGAGATTTTACTTCCAAACATGTTATTCCCCTAGTCATTTAATAATAAGTTAATATTTTCTGTATATTTGGGGTGCTAATACCCTATATGGTTATAATCTCTTGCCCTGTCAATCCAGAAACAAATGCGCTATCCAAATTATCCAGGAAGAAAAATAATTTATGGCTAATTTGTAATTAAATGTAATGTTGAGATAAATTGAACATATCTATATTGTGGCTGAATTACTGCTGTGGCCCTTCCATTTATATCAAAAGTAGTTTACCAGTATCTAGTGCTCTGGAAATTTTATTAGTCTCTTTGTTTTTAAATTTCTAATTTTAAAAAAGTATATATTCTTTACTTCTTGCTTACACCAGCATCTTGAGATGAGAGTGGTAAGGGAGATGTAAATTTAAGGTGATTTTTTCCTCTTCTCTTTTTAAAATCACAATTCTAGTAATATTTGACTATAAAATTACTCTCTTGGCTACTGGCAACATTCCTGAAATGTTTACTTATGAGAACAGTGTGATTGATTAGGATACTGTATTGGATACTCTTTCTCCATTTCCAATACTGAATATGACAAATACACACACCCACACCCCACAACAACAATAACAAAACACAGCAAAGATCAAATATGGAGTAGCCAACAATATTATGTCATTCAGGTGCCCAAGAGAAATGAACCTGATTTAGGGATATGGTGGGGGCTAACCTCATCAGTATACGTTGCAGTTACCACTACAAAAGCGGTTTCTTCCTCAGTTAGTGGAAGATTTCACCTGCAGAAACATAGAATTTTACTTAAGATAACCAATTGGTTATATTTAATTGGCTTATTGCCTGGCTGTGTGAGAAAAATACAGTTGCAAATGTCACAAAAGGAATGAATAACTGTCCTGTAAGATACTCAAGTCATTCACTTTAATTTCAACCTGCTGAAAAGACTTTTTTTCTATTTCTCTACATAGCTTTTGATCCCACAAAAGGAATCTGGAAATAAATCATGGGGCAGATGTTTTGACCTTCACATCAGTGGATATTTTTCTAGGTATTTTGCTTTTCAGGAAAGCAGAGTCTTGATGATATATCTAGTGACTCAACTTATAAACAGGAAGCCAAAGGTACTGTGACCTTAGATAGATGTGGTCATTTGTAAGTGTCCTATTGCTTGTGAAATCACATCATTAATTCAATTATATATCTTATTAAACCTAGTGCTACGAACCTGTGTCCTCATAAAATGTATATGTTGAATTCTTAACCCCAAGTATCTCAGAATGTGACTGAACTTTGTTATAGGGCTTTGGGAAAGTAATTGAGGTGAAATGAGGTCATACAGTAGGCCCTAATGCAATGCAACTGCTGTCCTTATAAGGACAGGGGGTTAGGACAAAGACTCACAAACAATAATGACCATGAGAAGATGCTGGAGGAAGACAATTATTACAAGCCAAGGAGAGAAGCTTCCGTAGAGACAGCCCTGCCTACACTTAGATCTTGCACTCCTAGCCTCTATGAGAAAATAAATTTCTGTTGTTAAAGCCGCCTTGTCTGTGGCATTTTATTTTAACAGTTCTAACAAATGATATACCTAGGGACTACATTTCTTGGCTGAATTCTAGATTTCTTCAGGTTAATATTTTGATGATGATCTATCTTCAGAACCTGTAGTACATTATCTTTAGCTCGCAGCCTGATGTTATTATTGAGTCTTTGGTCCTCCGGGAGTTACAGCTAGGGTCTGGGTTGGCCAGAGTCTCTCTGGAGGAGTTATTTTTGGATAACTATAATATTCCCATAATTATGTAAGTTTGCTATACAAAAAAGTATTGTTTTCTATATATGACTTGAAGGGAAAAAGTGAGGACTTATGATATCATTTTTCTGCAAAGTAGTTTCCCTCAATTCTCCCCAAACCAACCTAACAAGGCTTGCTCCAGCTGCTCGCTAGAATTGTGACTGATTATGACTGAAGGCATTGTAAACAGAAGGGAGTTTTTTGTTTTTATTTTTGTTATACTTGCTGTCTTCCCGCAGAATACCATTACTCTCTTTTGACTTTTCTTCTCCCCACCATTTCTATCAGAAGCCTTTAGTAATGAGTCACTAGGCACACACAGCCACCACAGGAAGGTTAATCCTTTTGAGTCGAACAGCAAATATGTCAGGACAGCAGTAGGCAGGACAGGCTGAGCTGGGGCTAGAGTGTTCAGTGGAACTGATTTTTCAAGTTCTCTGGTGCTGGTAGGCTGACGTAAGAGCGTGGGATCTCTGATAGCTGCTGCCAGGCGGGTTGGCTGCTAACTCATTGTTCTTTCACAGTTGAGGCGCCACTGGGCCTGCGTGGTACAGCAGTCCAGGTGTACTTGGCATCGACAGTTAAAGACTAGTCACCCGTGGTGGTAGTGATAGTAATGGCAACATCATAGGCTACAGTAGTAAAGGAATTTTGCTTGTAGAGGAAAAGAGGAAAGGTAGCATGGCAGAGGCCACTGAACCCCCACATTGGAAGACAAAAAGAAGCAGCAGCTTCCATTCCAGATGGGAAGACACAAACAGGATTTTTGTAACCCTTAAATTCCTTTCACAACCAGATTTTAATTTCCATTTATCCACCAAGACTTCTTTCTGGGAAGTGTGAGGATTTACTTCATGAATGGCACTTGCTGTTTCCCTAAAAGCTGAATAATGAATTTCTTTAATGTTTACCTGTGTATTACAAATTGACTGTGTTTGTCCCAGAACACGTGTGGGTTTCCTGGCATAGCTTTTTTGATCTATTTCTTATTCTTCTTAGTCCTTTCCCCAGTGTCTCCAATGCAAGGTAATTCTGTTGATCAAAAAAGTAGCTTCTCTGGGTCATCCAACGAACATTCCTGGTCTCACTACTAGAATAGTCTCAATTAGGTCCTCAGTCTCTGAGCAACATTATGTCTTATACTAATGATCTTCTGCACTAAATCATGGGAAATATTATGTTCATTTTTATCTTTCCTCCACTTAAGCAAGGTGCCTAAACCCCATTTTGAGGGCTACAGAGAGGACTACATTGAGACTTGGCAAAGTCCTATAGAAGTTTTGGTTTCTTATGGTAAACTGTAAGTATATAGTTTATTAATGATGCATCAGACAGATAAACATTTGATGAGCAAAGCTTCCTTAGGTTTCCCAGCTCCTCACAGGGAGTAGGCTTGAACTGATGATCATTTAGGCTATTTTTCAATTGTCTCCCAACCTCTTTCCTCTCAGCACCATCTCTGACCTGCCTCGTAGCCCAGGATTCTAGTTCTGTGGACAGAATCACACAGGTGTGTGTGTGTGTGTGTGTGTGTGTGTGTGTCTCCCTGTATGTCTTTAAACTGGTATCTATCCAAAGCATTCACAGGAGTTCATAAAATAGGAGAAAAGAGAAATACAGATATTTTCTCACTGAACAACCTTCTAATTCATGGATTGCATCCACACATTTATTTCAATGATTATTTAATATGCTTCCATTGCTTATGAGAAAAAAATCCATACCTTGTAACATGAAATTTAAAGACATCAAGCAATCTGCTACATCATGGCTTTCTGACTACTTCCCTGACCTTTGCTATACCTTCAGGTATAAAGATTTTTTATACTTTAGTGCCATTTTAATATAGCGCTTTTGTTTAAGCTACCCTCTTTCTCCACCTTGATTATCACCCTGCACTTGCCTAATTATTACACAGTTCAGCTAATTATCTCCAACTTAAACACCATAAATCTCCAACAAAACACCGTATGTCAGGTGTCATAATTTCAGGGAGCTCTTTAACATGCTACTTTTTAAACTTTTAAATGTGTCTCTACTGTGCTATCAATAAATTTTGTACAAATGTACAAAAACAGTAGAATAAATACATAAATCTTGGTATATTTATACCACAAAGCATAGTACAACACTAAGAATGGATAATTCTTGTAATCATAGTGTTAAAGTAAAGATTCCAGGTACGAGAGAGTACCTGTTGTATGACTCCACTTTTATAAATTTCAGAAACAGGCTACAGTGTTAGAAGTCAGGAAAGTGTATACCTTGGTAATGAGTAGCGGAGAAACGCAGATGGGAATGCTGTGGGACTGAGAAATTGTAAACATTGCTTAGTGGAGTGAGGAAGATGTAAACAAGTGGAAAGATAGACCACATGCACTGTTGCTAAAATGCAATACTGTTATCAATTCTCTATAAATTGACCTATAGATTCAACAAGATATCAACAAGACTTTCTATGCCAGCTGTTATAAAAGCACTAACATAGATTATATAATTTACCTTTAATTGAAAGGGACTTGGAATAGTCAAAACAAATAGAAAAAGAAGAATACAATTGAATATCTCAAAGTTCCTGGTTATAAGACTTAGTATAAACTACAATAATCAAAATAATGTAGTAAAATATTGGCATGTGGATATACAAAAATATAATCATACTAGATAACCAAGAAATATACCTACATATAATTCAGTTAATTGACTTTGCTTAAGTTGAGTGAAGTAATGATTAATATGTGCTTTTTTAAAAAAATTAGGGCTGCAAAGACTGTAGACACACTAAAAGAAAAGAATACTAATCACTACTTCACATTATGGACAAATATTAAAGTGACATGTATCTATATTTATATATTTTCTTTTAATAAAGATAAAATATTTATAACCATTAGGTAGAATAATATTGTAAACAGCAGAGAAAACAGTGAAAATAACACTTTAAAATATCAGAAAATTAGGCATTATTAAAATCAATAATATTTGTCATTAAAAGACACTATTAAGAAAATGGATAATTCACAGACACAGAGAAAATATATTCAATGCGTATACCTAATAAAATATTGAAAACTAGAGTATATTTTATTTGCATGAATTCAATAACAAAAAGAAATTAACATAAATAGTGACAATGAGGAATGATATAGGACCCAGAGTTCACCAAAAAATAAATGATTGTTCAATAAGGCCTTGAAAAAGTGTTCAGCTATATCAATTTTAGGGAAAATGGCTGAAATTTAAAAGATTATACTTAAAAGACTATAATGGCCAAAATTAAAAGAAAGAGAAGCATAAATATGTAGAAGAATGTGGAGCTCCTGAGACTTTCATATATTCATGGTGCAGGTACCAAAAAGAACCAGCTAAGAAAGTGAGTCTTTGTTTGTTTTCTGCTGCTTATAGAATATATCTGAAACTGAGTAATTTTTTTTAATGAATGTATTTCTTATAGTCATGGAGGCTGAGAAGTCCAAGGTCAAAGGGTCACACCTGCTGAGGGACTTTTTTCTAGTAGGACTCTGCAGACTCCCAAAGCAGTGCAGAGCATCACATGGTGAGGAGGATGAGTGTTCTAGTTCAGGCATCTATACCTCTTCTTATAAAGAAAGCCACATCCCACTCTCATGTCAGCTTATTAATCCACTAACCCATTAACCAACAAATCCATGAATGGATTAATCCATCTATGCAGACAGAATGCTTGTGACGTAATCACCTCTTAGAGACTCTAACCCTTCAATACTGCCACATTGAAAATCAAACTCCAGCATGAGTTTTGAAGAGGACAAATACTCAAACCATAGCCTCTTGTTTCTCTTGGATAATCTGGAATTTTTAGACTGCAGTCAAACGAGGAAAAAAGTGGTTCTGAGCTTCTGTAACTTATAATTAACTCATTTCCCTGCATTTGGAGTGCAGGGGATAAAAGTTGAACATCACAATGAAAAATGGTATACATAAGAAGTTCAAATGTAAAACAGAAGCCTATAGAGAAGAAACGGTAAGCTCACTTGCTTGTGTTGATCAGCATATTACGTGGCACATTTAGACATAGAGAAGGAATCCAGAGAGTAAAAATAGTTTTAACCAATACATCCTTGCATTCCCCTTATGTTGAGCAAAGAAAGCTGATGTGGTGGACTCTTACAGTTCTTTAAATAAAATAGCAAGTTGTTACTTTAGCAATTTATCATGCCATTTATTAAAGTACTTTATATTTTGCGACAAATTTGGCTGGATGGGTAGAGATGAGCTTTTCTTACTTAGATGTTCACTTTTGGGACAACTTTAAAATCCACTTTTATTACTTTTTGTTTCCTCAAGTTCGTGCTCTGTGGGAGGCGATCTATTATAAGGTAGATTTGTTCAATAGGTCCTGCAGGGCTTGACAAATACATGTCTCTAGGGATGTTATTTTGGTGGTATAAAATACAAAGAAAACTACTAAATAAATGTAGGAAATAGATATAAAATATACAAAAAACAACGAATATGTTTTTATTTTAGATATTTAGAAATATGAAGATTAACGTCAAAGAAAGCTCATCCATTGCTTTTCCAAAATGTAGAATTAGCTTGATAAAATATAATTCCTAAAAGGCATATATTTTTGCATTTTAGCTGTCTCTCTAATAACTTCCTCAATGAAAACCAATTTTCCAAAATTATTGACATTATTATTATTATTATTATTTTATGGAGTCTCACTCTGTCACCCAGGCTGGAGTGCAGTGGCGCAAT